CTCCAGGGTTCCTGTAAAACATGTGATTTCTGCAAGAGCGTGTGTGTTGGTGTGCCTGTATGTGTATGTGTATGTTTCTGTGTGTGTGCATGCAATTGAAAGTGGGACACTATGATGATAAGTTACCAGCCGAGGCCTTAGTGCTACTGCTGTGCGGGGACACATGGCAGCACATGAGGAAGCAGCTTGACTGTAGAGCACAGGCTGCCAACAGCAACCACATCACACATCTTGAAACACAATATTCAGAGTGTATGATTCAAAACCAAAATTACTACAATCTACTAGCACCATTTATGGGAGATTACTCCTATAACAGAAAGAAAAAAAGGAACCAAATTTGCATTCTCCCTATTGTGATCTTGCACACAGGAATACATCTAAAAAGGTTTTCTCTAACTTACCTTTTCTCTGACTCAACTTGCATGTCTGTGTCCAGAGTGCTGTGCACCTGGCAATAACTCAGCGCCATGGAGAGCTCATCTTTCTGTCCAGACTGCCCGCTCTTCTCAATCCAGCAATTAATACAACATGCAATTTCAGCATATCCCTCTTTCAGGAGGCGGGAGCAGAAAGCCTGAATGCCAAGACCATTTCTATATGTAATTTATGCTTTTACAGTGATTACTGCACCTGCTTTCTTTCTTGCAGGTTGTGCTAACAATATGAATAAGTGAGCTTCTTCAAAGCTAACGCTATTTGGAGGTATCGTAAGGAACACATTGTGTCTTTTTGTTCCATGCAGAAAAGCCAGAGTGTATTATGCACATGCAGGCTCTTGTTAATGTTAATATGTTCTAGGAAATGGGATTTGTCATTTCTCTGTTGTTTTGCTTTTTCAAAATATATGCATGTCTAAATCTTATGTACTGTAAAGAAATCCCAAAATATAGCACTCAGGGATGAAAACATTTTTTTTTTTGTGCTGCACTTTGGACGCATTTGACATGAAAATATGAACTTCATGGTCCTAAACTATTTCTCCCACAAAGTTAACTAAGATTGTATAAAAAACACTCTGAGTAAACAGTCCTGTTGCAAAATGGGCTGCTGCCTTAGAGACTGCTTGGAACATTTATGATAATCTACGATAATCTACTCAACAAAGCAACACATTATCCATTTGAATGCCAAGTAAACCTCATTCAGAACTTTGAAAAATGCAAACATATTCTGAGATCTGAGAATAGCTCCAGTGGAACATGTTATCCTCTGTCAGGCCCAACAGACGCTGTATAAGACCCATGTGCTTTATGTGGCGGAATGAGTGGATAAAAAGCAACTTTAAATGCCCCTCTACCTCATTCATCTGGGAGTGGAGCTTGCGTGTGAAATGGGCCAATACCGCAAATCTTAAAGCTGTATGCCCCCTCTGTTTTAAGTATCTAGGGATCAGCAGGGTGGCCCGGATTGAAGAGAAACAGGCAATCTTCCAGTTCAGAGGTCTTTGGTTTTGTATCATGGCTGCAACGATAACCTCCAATGGTAATTTAATGCCCCCATTCAAGTAATGCACTTTATTGCACCGGTGGATTAAGTAATGATTATTTTGCGAAATTGCGGCCACACAATGGTCAATTAATCTTTAATGAAACAGTAACTTATGAGGCGGAGCGTGGCATTGCAATAAGCGGGCAACTGCTTGCCAAGGCTGTTACAAGCCTCAGTTGTGGACTACACTCCCCATCTATCACCATGTCAAAATAGAGCACTCTAGAAAGAGACATAATGAAAAGGCAAAGTCACAGTTGCAGTCTCCATTTTTAAGCATTCATGGAAGGTTTGAGGGGGCTATATCCTCCAACGTACGTGAAGGAAATATATCAGCCTTTGAGGTATGCAGAGAGATTATCCATTTGCCATTTTCAGGTGCTATTTATTTAGAGCAAGCCAGGCATAGGGGTTGCAGGGAATTATGTGCACTGGCAGAGCATGAAGTTGGAGGTTATCAAATGGCTGCACGGGAATTCCAATACCCAGCTATTTATTTAATCAGCAGCTCTTTAATGATGGAAAGTGTAACTCCCTGCTCCAATGTGTTGTTTTTTTACTCAACAAACACCTGCATAAGAGCCGTATAAACTCTAGCTTTATAGCCCAATCAAGTGTTCACATGGTACTGCACTACCAGAGCAATGCCGGGATAGTCACATAGATAAATGTTTTTTTACTCCGATTAGTTTCTCATTTCATTTTTGGCCCGAGGGCTCCAATTCTCTTACTCATTCCCCACTGCACTAACACATGTGGATGGATTTGTTTTTATTGCATGACATCATTTCTACACTGGAGTGGGAGGACAAGACATTGAATTTCCAATACTTGAGTGCGTGCTCGGTGGGAAAGTGTTGAGGAGAGCAAAAGAGGTGAAGAAACAGGAATGATGAGAGTGATTGATGGAGTGAATGTGAGCCAAAGGATGAAGAGGGACGAGTCAAGGGGCATGCGCACGAGTGTGGTGAGAGTAGGAGTGTAATGAAGTAAGACAGAAGAGATGTGTACAGAGTACGAGGTAAAGAGTGAGAGGTTTGGTAAGAGAAGAGACAGAAACATTGAGAAGAAAAGAGAGTGGAAAACAATAGATTGCAAGACTGATAGTGCTGAGCTGAATGTCAGCATCGCCAACCAATCCCTCTGCAATCTCCCGGTACCAACACGATGATGTCACAGGAAGAAAATGTGTGTCCGTGTGTGTCTGCGTGTGTGTTGATAGTAGGGTTGGGGGAATGGTTAGACGGCAGAGGGAAGGAGGGAGGGCTGAGGCACTCGGTGTTATTGTGCACCCGGCCGCTGGCACCAGCACTGTCAGTAAGCAGCGTTGATCCGTGAACTTGCCATCTGGATTCTCCCACAAATCACATTAAAGTTTCAAGCCCAGGAATACATCAAGCTAAATGAATATTGGATCCAGGGGCCGCAGACAGGCCTGATGGAGAAAAAGCCCCGTGCAACCCAACTCTTTTGTGGTCAGACATGATCCATCCATCCCCTTTACTCCCTCCCTCCTGCTGTTCCCTTCATCACTGATGGGCAACGGTTCTAAAGAGGGAGAGAGGAGAAGAGAATCTACTCATAGCTAAAAAGGGAACACAAGAAGACGGGTTATTATAAAGAGTAGGGTTATTGTGCTGCATTTAAAGACAAGTAAAACATGGCTTGTAGCTTGATATGAATATGACTGGAATATTTGCATTAATCCCTGATAGAATTGTATAAACATTGCTCGATATTGGCCAAAACCACTTTATTTTCTTCAAAGACTGTCACCGTCACTGTTCATGCAGGATGAAGTTGTCCTATGTTGCAAAGCCAACAATCTTGGCACATATTAGGACATTAATGCTTCTTAATCACCCACTGATTTCTGTTAAAGTGCATGTTGTGGGTGTAAATAAGGAGCACACATTGGCACTTGAATAATACTAGATACCATTAAATGATATGACAATGCCATGGAAATGATTCTTGTGTACAGTATTCAATTATAGGCTTACTCTTCCTTTTCTTTCAGCTACATTATGTTGATTTTGCATAAATGGATTCCTATTTTCACCGAAAGTCAAAATAATACGTGAGCAGAAAAAATAATGGAATCATTCATCATTCAATAACATGTTATGTTCTGGTTCCTGGCTGCATATTTCCTGCTGAAACACTGTTTGTGCTCAAGTAAAACCTATTAAGAAAATATTGCCTCACCAAGATTCTGTTTCATACAGGAGAAAATAAATCTATTTAGTTATTTTCCAATTCAGTGGCTTGTATAGCTAAGGATTTATTTTCAACTGGCCTGGACTGAAGAAAAAGGCTTTACTGTTAGCTTTTCAGGCTTCACGTCTATGAGATCCCCAGGGTGAGATACGGATTGGCTTGTAGTAGGGCTGTGCAATTAATCGTATTTTAATCGCAATTACGATTTTGGCCTGCCACAATTACGAAAACAACATAATCGAAAAAAACAATTATTTTGCTTTGCTAGGTTGTGACAGTGCACTGCAACATATTTGATCTCATTTATTTTGGTCTCATTTATTTGTATTTATCATATTTATATATGTTTAGTAGCTTGTGGAAGTGCGCTCCAAAATATTTGTTGATCTTGTTTATTGGTATTTATTATTTTGATATTATTTATTTAAATGTATCATTTATTTTATTTATTTTTGTATTGGTTTTTCAGTTAAATTATACGTTCAGGGTAATCAACAGTTAAAAATATACTGTTCAAATTATTATTTGTATTTGTTTTAAAGTTCAATAAATGGATTTTTTCAAAGTCAATGAATAATCGTATTTAATAATCGTGATATCAATTATTGACCCAAATAATCGTGATTATGATTTTTGCCATAATCGCACAGCCCTAGCTTGTAGTATGAAAATTATAAATACCTTGTCAGCGGCAAGGTATTTTCAGCTTCAGCCCCAAATTGGCCTCTTGACTACAAATTCCGATATCGCTATTAGCAAATAATTAGCAGGATGCCGAAACGTTTGGTATGTAAACCACAGGCAAATACAAATGGAAACATGTATTGTACAAAGCAAGGATTATAATAAAAATGCTCACAAAGGGTATTAAACAATCTGTGCAAAGGAAACCAACGCAGCAGAAGAGAGCAGGCATCAATCACTGTTATACATTGTCACATCATGAGTGACCCACCACTGAAAAGACAGCTCAAGTTGAACATAGTCGAGCTTTGAAGCACACCCTTCAGAAAAATAAATGAATGTTTATAACACAAAGCAATCCTGGAAGGTCAGTCACTTCGCCGCTTTTGAATATTGTGCTAACCTTTTCACACATTTGCATTGATGCAAAGACAAAATGGGTATCATTCGTTGACAATAAACCTGCCTCAAATATTTTCATTTCACTGTATACTTGAAAGATTGTAGGCTTTTTCTTATTCTTTATGTCATATTCGACAATAGATAATTTATGAAACACATTCTGTTGCACTAAAACTTCCCATTTGTCTCTGTTTTTCTGTCAGGTCTTCAGGTCATTTTCCCAGAATACCTGCAGGAGAAATTTGTCCAGTCAGCCCTGAGCTACATCATGTGCAATGGAGAGGGAGAGTACGTGTGCAGTAACAACCATTGCATCTGTCAGTGCGCCGACGACTATCCCCAGTGCAACTGTCCCATCACTGACATCCAGATCATGGAGAATAGCCTGCTGGGGATGTCTGAGTCCTGGGCCTCTTCTTACAAAGAATTTGAGAACTCTGGTAAGTTTGCAATTCTTCCAATTTATATTTACCTCGACAGCTTAGGAGAAGTGTGTAGCTGTTTTACTATTTTGCAAGGGAATAATTCCTGAGAAATGCAGCTATCCTATTCTGTGTATGGGTACATGTGCAGAGCTCAGGTAATTAAGGGGACATCATAACCTTGCAATTTTCTCTTTGCTTGAAGATCATTTAAAATCCCATTTTATAATTCTGCAGCTTAGTCTGCCCTTGCTCAATACCACATTTACATAATTAATAGAAAATTAAGTTTCCTACATTCACTGCAGAAAGTACTGAGCAAATGCAGACCCAAAGTGGGGAGGTAAGATATTGGACACGGTGGTAAAAGAAATAAAAGCACAGCTATTGCCCAGCTGCTACATGGCGAGTCCTTGTTTATCAATTATTGATATGATATAAAAGTGTCCCAATAAAACCTGCCAGCAGCAGATAAATATATTGATATACCATAGGAAGTTCATGTGAGTCACTGAGTGCAGTGAGTCTGGAAAGGGTGCAACACGAAGAGGCCAAACATAAAGGTTTATATTAAGGCTTATAAATTAAAATGCAAGGAAATGAATAACTTTCTTAGTGTCTGTGTCAATCATTTATCCAAATGCGATTAGATTAATACAATTAAATATCTCAATATATATTTTGGACCCTTCATATTGAGATGTAATGGCACAAGAGGTATGAAGTGGGGTTACACTCTGAGAGCTGTAATCTCTAGATAAGGTGCTTGGTGACTTGAGATAAGAGTCATGCGAGGGACTATGTGGACTCTTTGGAAGCTGTATCAAGGAAGAGATCCTTGGTGGCTTTGAAGCCTGCATGAAAGCACTTGGCATCTGTTGAACTGGCATGATGTGATAATGGATTCTTTTGGTGAGGGAATCAAACATTTTTGAATACTGGATGCTGGGGACAACCATCTTTTTCTAGGAAAAGGGCGAGGGAGGTGACCTGACATTTCTGAAAAGTGGGTGGAGGAATATGGCAAGTTTGAAACATGGGAGGAGAAGGAATCTGGCTTCTTTGAAGAAAGGGGGGAAAGGAGCTCTGACATGCCTGGGAGGAGAGAGGAGGAAGTTCTGACATTTCTTAGCTGTCTCTGAAAGAGAGTCTCAACTCCGTGGTTAATGCTGTTAGACTAAGATGTCTGTAGGAAAGCACTGGCTTACTGCAAAAGTCTATTTTGCAGGTAGTGAATATGGGGATCTTTTCTTCTAAGAGTTCCGTCTAATGCTGTGAATTCATTTTTCTCCCCAAACAAATGTGGTTGGAACAGGGGTTTTATACATAGATTTTGATTAGATTGTCTGTACCCTAAGTAGAGGCATCCTTTGTGTTCTGCACTCTCTTCAACATGCTGAAATTGATAAACTGTTCATTGGATTATTTATAATGATGTGCTTGAATGTATCTTCAGAGACAATAATGAGCTATACTCTGAGTCATATTTCCTTAATTAGCACACCAAATAAAAGATTCCTTCTACTTGTGTATTTGCTGCTGGAGTCTTACAAGCATCCTCATGCCCATTGTAAGTCAAAATTGGAACCAGAGTTGAAATACTAGGGTCAGAGAGCTGGGGGGGTTGTCTGGGGAGGAGACAAGCCAGAGTTATCAGAAGCAGCAGGAGGAACATAAGGGCAATAAGCGACACTGTGGTGGGAACATATTTGTTGAAGCAAGGCTCTTCAGTATGTGTGTGGGAGCACAGTCAGAGGGTGTTTACTGCAGCGAGAGTTTCAATTCACTGCAAATACTCACAACAGAAGCAATCAGAAAAAGTAAACCAAAGACATTCAACCATACATCAAGAAGATTGGTCGAGTTTCTGTGTGCTCACTGACCATTACCACGTTAAAAAAAAAATGGGACTGACTCTTTTTGGTGATTCTTTAAATTGTCCCTACTTGAAAAAAGACCCTACTGGATATTTTTGCAGTGTTCCAAAAAATAAACTTTGGACATATTGGTTAACTTGTGAAATGATCACATTTTTATAATGCCTAAAGTTTTCAATCATAACTTTTATATTCAACACATGAATGCAAATACATGGTTAACTTCTGTCAACACTACCAATTACATCCAGTTGCTGCTTTGTTTTTAATTCTACCCAGGATGCTTAGCTGGAATAGGGTTGAACAAATAAGTATTCTGTAAAGCAAACGCACTCTCCAATATTGTTGACACTTAATCATGTGTATGAAAACACAATGGTTGGTTCACAGATAAGACTGTTTGTGTACATTTTTCTGTTTATTTTGCTATTTCAACAAAGCTGCATTAAAGTCTAAGTCTTGCCATGGAAACGTCAGTGTACAGTAATTCAAAAGAATACATTGAAAAGTTTGCTTCCGATTCTTATTTTAGTAAGAACCACAAAACAAGTAGATCCATATTAAGTGAAATCAATTGATTACATTTGCAAATGCAACTTTCAATATTGAATTCACCCTTTTTTCTGCTGCTTCCAAGCTTTCAAGTCAGAAAATAAATTTTGAACTTGTACTTTTCTCTCATTTTTCTGTCTCACCACCATCCTCTCTCATCTCTGCGTTTTGCCATCTGCTCTTTCACTTCATCACTTTCTGTCATCCAGATGAGTTCAAGTCCTTCCTGAAGAGGCTGCCCTCCACTCACTTCCTGCCCATCAGCAGTGTGCATCTCCTGTGGGGCAGTGACTGGGACCTTCAGGCTCGCTACAGGCTACTCCAGAGTTCCCTGGAGATCCAGCGGCTCAAGATCCAGCGCACTGCCCGCAAGCTCTTTGGCCTCAGCATCCGTTGTCACCACAACCCCAACCACCAGATGCCTAGGGAGAGGTGGGTAGAAATACGACCTCTAGATCATGATAGGGATTAGATGTGAATGTACTCGGTGATCTAAAGTGCTGTTTTTGGCATTTGATATTTTTGGATATTTTCTTTTCCAAGTGTGAGAATAGCAGCTGTGAACATGTATCCCACAGAGGACATTTCAGGGAAACTTCTTCTCTGAAACGATGCAAAGGTTTTACTTTGATTGTTGCTACTCGAAGCATGCTCAGTAAGGATGCCATCTATTATACATCTCAACTTATGGCTCTGTTGTTTCTGTCCATCAAGCCAACTTAGTGCTGAGGCTTGCACATGCCCAAAGCACTCTTGCTCACTCTTGTATTTCTCATTGCAGTCTGAAAAGTAAATGTAGCTGTGGGAGTTTTCTTGATAGGTCATTGCACACATCTGTCACCACCTACTGCAGTTGCAGCTTAAGAGCCTTGCTGCGAATGTGCCATGGTGTCAGCACTGCCAGGAACTTCCACATTCACTGCAGCAAATATTAGAAAACACTATGCGAAATATGCAAAGTGTGCCACATGAAACACACACCAACGGTTCTCTGTAGGTGATGGAAATGGGATCTGTGAAATATTTATTCAAGTGGTCTTAAAATGAGCAGATGTTAACAGTCTACGACAGAAAAGGGGCACACCCACATTTGTGTGTAAGGGATGGCAAAGGATTGTTCTGAAGTGTTGCAAAGAGCCGCAGTATATGCCCTTGCTCTTCCATGGAGTGCGCATCGAGAGTGCCTGATGGCACTGGAAATAAGAGCAGCATGTTTATTTGTTTGCTTGTGTGAGGCAGCCGTGCATCAGATGGAGGACTCATTTGTTTTCAACACATCTGTTTGCGTGTCTGTGCACTTTGCCTACGTGCTTGAGTGGGTGGTAAGTGGTCTATAGCTTACACACATGTTCTAACCTAGGCTACAGCGCTACATTTTCATATAAGGGACTGATTGTTATATATGATAAAAAGGTTTTGCTAACGGGGAGGCACATGAAATACCTTTTAAAGCACTGGGGAGAGGCATATATATATATTTTTTCTTTTCAAGATAGGCTTTTTCTACCTTGGTATTTACCCCCCATTGCTCACCCTCATTACAACAACTAGCCAGCCTAGAATAGAAAGCCTTCATTGTCATTGTACAAAGTATCCAACATGATTTTTGTAGTGCAACCCTGTCATAGTGCACAGTGAGGAAAACAGACAAACAATACAAACATGACAGCAGAAGACTAAGCAAATGCAGCATGTCAGTAGAAGTTAATGTAGCTTGTGCTGCTGAGCATTAAGGAAACATGCTCCCGATGGACAACTACAATACCCACATGGCTTTGTGTCGTGTCCCAGCTCATATTCTTCACAGTCCCACACCTTTCTTAACATATGCCACATTTATGTTTCACTGTGTTTTAGATTCTCAGGGGAAAGCCCAGAGTGCACCATGACAGGGTCATTCCTACACTATGTATGTTTTAAATATGTTGGGCTATCATAGGGCTTACGTCTTTTCCCGAAGATAGAAAGGGGGGGGGGGGGGCAGAGGGCCAAGGTTTAAGAGTGAGGGCTAGCTATTAATGGTTGGATTTAATCAGCTCTTGCTTTTTTTATTTTCTCAAATAAAACCTAACTTTGGTGTGAATACAACAGAATTTAATAGATTATAGGTTCAAGATTAAAAAACTAAAAACTCAAACCAACCACATACCAGCCCTTGGATACACACAGAACATTATCTTACTGTACTCTGTCATACAGAATATGTATTTGTAATAGTTCCTCCAAAGTCAAATCCCTATTTTGTCTTATGTTGATGTCTAATGAAGGCTAGCAATTGTTTTATGATTTGTTTTAATGTTACTGCATTCTCAGAACGACTTTGTTAAAGGACTATGTTTTAATAACATATTGGCGAGTTTGCCACATTACAATCTCTGTCTTTGTCCTCAATTCAAGAAAATGACCCCAGTCACCAACAGTCTGCCCAGTCTCCACCTTGTCACTGGGCAGCCTATACTATCAGTGGATGGGGGAATGGAGGTACAGCTGAAAGCCCATCAACCATCATGCCAAGTGTTTTGAAGGTTTTTGCCAACCTCCTCAGGGAGGGCTTCCAGCACATTCTCAACCTGTCAGCTGCAGAGGGTGCTGATGATGATGTGAAAAACATCCTGCCTGGCCCCAATGGCCAAGAATGGGCACACCAGGGTTCTAAATGACAGCAGGCCGGATCCCTAGTGAGGGAGCGTTTAGATCCCCTTCAGTTCATACATCAGGCCCACAATGGGGAGGATGATGCTGTCAACCACCTGCTTCTCTCTGCATACTTGGACAGCCACTGAAAGAATCTTGTTCATTGACTTCCCCAGGGGTTTTAGCACCACCGGGGTCCTCTCCTAAAGCTATGCTTATAGAAACCCCAGTGATCACAGATGACTTTGCCAAGAACACCATTTTTGATACATCACAAATATGTTAGATTGTGTAGTTGGAAACCTGTGGCTCCTTTTATTGCTTTAATTATTCACCTTCACATCCTACCTTTTCAGAATCATGCCATTTTCAGAGGGTCCTAGAAAACGTTGTGAGGGAGCAGTGTATGTGTCAAGAGAGGAAGGATACATTTTTTGTTCTGACAGGGTAGTTGAGTGTTTTTTGAAATCACCAGTGACTGAAGGTGACCAAGATAATAACACATGTAGTAATAAGAAAACAGGGTTGCACATACTTTTATGGAATACAAAGGAGGGATACTAGAACTAGAAGGTGCTGCATGTATCTCAGGCAGTCTTCTGTAGGCATGAATGGAAGTGTGAGTAAATGTGTATTGGCTAAGAGGGACAGATAGAGTTCTCCGATGTATTGACTGACACAACACAGAAGAGTGATGCATTGTTAATGATCCAGCCCCTCCTATAGTTTCACGTTATTTCATTACTCTTACATGGAGCCTTTAAAGCATTCATATTATGCCTATTAATATGATGTCCTTGTACACTTTTAGTTAAATTAAATTATGGATGCAAAGTAGGGAAGAGGAAGTCACTTATGCTAATTGCAATTATTCTGATGTAAACTTGTGTTATCAAGTCTAACTTCCCCAACACATATTTGTACGTTTTCAAACATGTTGCACTTTCAACATTGCATATTGTTCTAGGTCAGTCAGTAAACATATTTACATCAGCTAATGGAGGAAAGGAGTCTGATGCATTGTTGCCCGGCTGTAATTACAAATGCATATCGCCACCTTATAATTTCTCTTACCTCACCGCAAGGCATCCATCCATTACAAGCATCGTAAATTCCTGTTGTGAACACTCACCGCCAAATAACTGTGTGGAAACTTTATAGCTGAACTATATTGGATTTCCTATTGCATTTCCTGTAATGAGTAAAGCAGCTTGCTTCAAGTATAATAAACATAGCAGTTTGTCTTTGGTGTAAATGATTCATAGTGACAGATATGAAGTAGCTTCACTCCCAGCCAAATCATTTGCATCCGGGCTATGCATTGGCTTTAATTATTCATGTCAAGTCAAGCATATTTACTAATAAGAATGTACCCTCCCACGTGATGAATCACTTTGCCATCATTTCTATTGATTTTGACTTGACACTGCTTTTTAATCTCGCCTTAACATATTCAAACGTCATTTTTGCATTTAGTTTACGCTACTGTATATAGTGTCTCATGAAATCATCAAGGGTCTCTTTCATACGAAGCTCTTGAAAGATCATGGTGGGAATATTTGTATAAACTCATTTTGCATTCCCTCGCAATATTTCTTGCAGGGGACATTTAGTGGGTTATGATACAATGTCACTTTATGGGAACACTACACGAGAGATAGGAAGAATGGAGTGACATTTGTTTTAATCATGCATTTATAACTCATTATTCCTTTCTAATAGCTGAGCTTGGGCAGTATTAGGACAGTAATACACCACAGGAGTTCACTAATAGAGTAGCTCCGCCAGCATAACCATGTAACTTCTCTGAACAAAACCATGTTTAAGTGTTTCATGTTTTACAAACGAATGCGTAACTGTCATAATCATGACAACAAGAACACAGCCATGGCAACAATCACACTACATACTACATAATAATACAACATCATGCAACTCAGTCTTTGTCTATAGAGCATGTGAAAGGTGTGCCACTGTGGCTCTGTACTCATTTAAATAACATTTTTGTATTAGCTTGCTTCATCTGTTGGACATTTTACAGTTTTCTTTGATCAGCGGCAGATTCCATTCAAATGCTCTGATGTCCTCTTTCTTCCTTTGCCTTTTCCTTGTTCTTTAATGTACTGTAGGGGGGAGCTATGACAGTTGTCATCTGAACACCAGGGCCTGTTTGATGCATTATTACAAACCTAAAGTGTGCTTGAATTCATTAAAACAAAACAGTATCCATTGGGATGTATTTTCATTCAAATTTCTATGGCAAATCTTTACAAAGCTATTGCTGTAGAAACAAATAAGAGAGAAATTAGACTACCCACATGATGCTCTCAAATGGCTTATTGAGGGAGGCATATCTTTCAGTAATTCAAACAGGATATTTCAACAGTTATTGCAAAATAAATTCAAATGAGGGATCTTTATGACTGTCCCTTTGTCTAATTCAATAATACATAGCCAATCAAATATAATAGGATAGGTTTGACATTAAAGCCAACATAATCAATGTGTTTTGTATGCAAATCGTAATGAGAATTTCTTTATAGACAAATAATGAAACACTTTTGAAAAGTCTTGTATATCTGGCATTATTAGATGTCTAATATTTCACAATCATGTTAACTGTTGAAAAAGAAATCTGATAATTATTGGCAAATAATATAAAAATAAAATGATTACGTTTTAAATACCATCTCTTAAATTAGGATCCAGTTACCTATACACAGACATACAGTAGGCATTAGCTTCCTAACCTGTCTTAATAATAAACACATGTTATGTTCAGAGGATCATTTGTTATGGCCAATAAAAAAGCATGTATTGCAAATTGCTTTATGTGCCTTTGTTGAATCACTTTTAGGAATATAATAGAATAAATATGTTAAGTAAAATGTATACAGTTCAAGTCGAAAACAGTCAATGTCAGTGTTTGACAGTATTCAATTCCAGAGATGGCAAAAGTAAAGACATCCTTTACTCAAGTAGAAGTACAGATACTCGTGTTTAAAAATACTCTGGTAAAAGTAGAAGTACTGACTAAACTTCTTTACTCAAGTAAAAGTAAAGAAGTGTGGGCTTCGAAATGTACTTAAGTAAAAATAACTCATAACTACCAACTGTTTTAAAGAGTACCTGACCTCCCTTTATATTAATAGAACAATAATGTCATTGTTAGTTAATGAATGTTTCGATGCTGAACAACGGCAACATGACAACGTTTTCATTGGTCCCTCTTCTTTAGAGAAGACCAGGAAATGAAGGATACACGGATCTTGTTAAAATCAATAGGCACGCAATGACTCTAAATAATAATGATCACGCCACCAAACACAGATTAAAACTAAAGTAACGAACCTGTTTTGAAAATGTAAGAAGTAGAAAGTACAGGTATTTGTGTTAAAAATGTAAGAAGTAAAAGTAAAAAGTCGTCAGAAAAATAAGTAGTGGAGTAAAGTACAGTAACAAAGTATTTGTACTCCACTACTTCCCACCTCTGTTCAGTTCTTGTATGACTCTGTGGCAGAAGCTGTTTTTGAATATGTTTCCATGATTTGATGGAGCTGAAGTATCTTCCAGAGGGAAGCAGATTAAAAAGATGGTGCCCAGGGTGGGATGGCTCTTTCAGTATGTTGGCTGCTCTACTAAGGCAGAATAAGCTGAATAAGTCCTCCAATGAGGTCAGTGATACAGTACGCCAGCACACTCTCGATGGAGCAGCAGTGGAAGGTTACCAGCAGTCTCTCCTGGTTTGCTCAAATCCTCAGGAAGCGGAGTCCCTGCTGTGCCTTCTTGACCAGACCTTTACTGTAATGGTGTTGGTAGACCAAGAGCGATTTGACCAATGTGCAAAGCAAAGAACCTGAACGCAGAAATGATTTCCATACTGCCCTTGTTGATGTGGAGTGTTTCTCTTGAAGTCTATGATAAGTTGTTTCGTTTTTGAAGGGTTCACAACAAGTTTGTTCTCCAGATACAGCGCTGTTGGTCTTTGAACTTCATTCCTTTAGCCTGTGTCACTTTTTCCTGAGATGAGTTCCACCACAGTGATTGTGACTTTGAAATGTGTCATTAAGCAGAATACATGAAATAAAAAACGGATTTAAAATGCCAATGAAAGCTGTTAGGCTTTAGAGACAGACTAGGACTAGACAAGTTAATCTTTAAATGCAGAACTTTCTATTTGTCGATTTTAATTTGCATTACCCTCATTCATGTTTTCGTGCACATTTTGGTTTCTTTGGGTGTTTTTACTTGTGAATGAAACGTTTTTTCCAACATCCTGCACATATGAAGCTCACCTCTGATAATAAATGTTATTTTCTGAATTGTAAAGAGGCTAGTTTCCTATGTGTCAGTTATGTAAACTGCACCCATAAACTGGCAGTGCTTCAGTAGGTGGACTAGCTCATATAAACATACAATTTAATAAGCCAGAGTACCTAGAACCTGGAGACAGAAAGATGTGAAGCCTAGTTAGCTGACCCTGCTGTGCCTGTTCTGCTTCCATCAGAGCTAATCAAAATAAAACTGTGAGACTGGAGCACTTCACAAGAAATGATAATCACAGTAATGAGGGTAATAGATTTAGCTAGATAAATAACGTCTGTTACCATCAGATTGTGTCACAAAAAAACAGTAAAACCAGTATATTAGTACATCTCTGCTAGGTAGCTACTTTTGTATTCATAGTGGAGTGGACAGCAGACACACGCTGGAGGGAACCAACATGATACACTCATCTCTCTAAAGACACTCCAGGCAACACTGCAATATGACAGAGAGGAAATGGAAAGTGATATAAAAATCACAAATACATTGCCTTCACCAGGATATTAAGACATCTCATCTCTAGGGGAAGAGGCAAAACCAGACATGAGAACACTAGTGCACATAAGCAAACACTGTCAAGAAATAACTTCTCCACACAAGGTACATTTCACATCTCCAATGGGATAAACACACAGGAAACCAGTCAGTGACATGATCCGATGGGTTACAGTTTGGAAAGAAAATAAATATGTATAAAAAAAATTGCAAGGAAATACATTTTCATAGGTCAGATAACCTAAGTCATTGACAACATATTAATCAGTGAGATTCATCATCATTATACATACATCATTCAGTAAAACCAACAGCACAACCTATTTTGGATTGCACTTTATTGAATTCCAGGCCATCAAGGACAAGTCTTGACATTATATGTGTTTTATGTGGGGCAGAATTAAGGACATTTTTGCTTTTGAGTAAGCTCATTGAAAGTTGATTTTTTCATTTCCTTAATGTTCATCCTCACTTCATGCCATCCTCAATTTGACGCCAAAGTTAGTGGAATCAAGCAATGTGCTTCTATTGTCCTCTATAGGTGATTTGTTCCGGTCTCATTTTGGGTTAAGCTTGGGGGGTTTCTGGCCTGCCGAGAATGCAATTCCATCCATCATAGTTAAGCCTTGGCTTCATTAACATGTCAAGTTAACCTTGACCAGACCTCGTCTCTGTAAAATCAAGATTCAGAATTCACCTCCTACAGTCTGAAAAGAAGTTCCATTGCTGTCAAGATGACAGGGAAAGATGTCTGAAGGGAAAATAAGAGACAAGATAAGAATAGCAAGTAATGCCTTCCACCTGAGGGAAATAACACAACTCCTCCCCCTTGAAGGGAAGAAATTATCCTATTCCCCTACTATCCCGACTCAATGGTTTTCATGTATACATTGCTGCCAAACATTTAATAAGCATGTCATTGAGTTTTGGATTTGCCACTGTGTCTTTTATACCTTCTAACTATTGGCATCCATTGATTTCAGTAAAGTTCAGTGAACTGACTACATAGTACAAGCCTAAGTAAGGCATCCCAATTAACTTAATTTGGGGTTTTATTTGTAATGCTTTCAAGTGCATTACCAAACTATTGAAACTAATTTAACACAAGCTTTATTTGTTGATAGTAAAAATGAACATATGAAAGGTCTTCTTTATATGGTAACTCTTAAAGCTCTCAAATGTGACCTTTAACGATTCTTTCCATATTTTGTTTCTCCTTTCTCTCTAGATCTGTGATGCAGTGGTTGAACAGGGTTCAGTCTTTCCTCTACTGTAATGAGAACGGGTTCTGGGGGACCTTCCTGGAGAGCCAAAGGACATGCGTGTGCCACACAGGTGTTACCTTATGCCAACGACCCATCCCATGCGTCATAGGTGGCAACAACAGCTGTGCCATGTGCAGCCTGGCCAACATCTCACAATGTGGCTCCTGCAACAAAGGCTACAAGTTGTACCGTGGTCGCTGTGAGCCCCAGAACGTGGATTCAGAACGTAGCGAGCAGTTCATCAGCTTTGAAACTGATCTGGACTTTCAGGACCTGGAACTCAAATACCTGTTGCAGAAAATGGATTCCCGACTCTACATTCACACGACTTTCATCAGCAATGAGATCCGACTAGAAACCTTCTTTGACCCAAGATGGCGTAAGCGCATGTCCCTGACCCTGAAGAGTAACAAAAACCGGATGGACTACCTCCACATGATTATCGGTCTGTCGATGAAGATCTGCCAGATGAGAAATAGCAGCATTGACCCCATGTTCTTTGTTTATGTCAACCCCTTCAGTGGTAGCCACTCAGAAGGCTGGAGCATGCCCTTTGGGGAACATGGATACCCACGCTGGGAAAAGGTACGACTACAAAACTCGCAGTGCTTCAACTGGACTCTCCTGCTGGGCAACCGGTGGAAGACCTTCTTTGAGACGGTGCACATCTACCTGCGTAGCCGCGCTAAGATCCCAACTGGCTTACGCAATGACACGGGACAGGGTCCAGTGGATCTTGGAGATCCTAACAAGCGGCAGATCTACATCAAAATATCTGATATCCAAGTGTTTGGCTACAGCCTACGCTTTAATGCCGACCTGCTCCGTAGTGCTGTGCAGCAGGTTAACCAGTCGTACACACAGGGAAATCAGTTCTACTCCTCCTCATCGGTCATGCTCCTGTTGCTGGACATAAGGGATCGGATTAACCGCCTTGCCCCTCCGTCTGCTCCCGGCAAACCCCAGCTGGACCTCTTCTCCTGTATGCTCAAGCATAGGCTGAAGCTCAACAACAGCGAGATGATTCGAGTAAACCATGCCTTGGACATGTACAGCACAGAGATACTAAAACAATCAGATCATCTGACTGCTAAACTCTGCTGAACATAGTAACATTCACAGAAGGACAGCAACGTGAAGCACCCAACAAATGAACTAGGCGGGGATATTAATCTTAATTTTCTTTTTCTCTTTTTTCATTTTTGGACCTTTTCTGCCTTTTGATGTAATATTAACTTTGTAAGCATAATTCTTAAAGAGATAAAGGAAAAAGGCACTGATGAAAAGCATTTCAGATTAAGATAAAGAAGATTAATGGAACCACTATAAAGACTGTATCATATTTGTCCCAGCATGTCTGTCATTCCCTAAAAAGATCTAAAAAAAAAAGAAGAAAAAAAAAAAGAAATATTAAATATATGTACTGGTGAAAAAGAGGCCTTGATTTTACTCCGAGGGATCAAAGGTTTTATCTGAAACTGCCATTCTTTACTGACAAAAACATTTTTAAAGGAATAACAATGGAACACAAGGGCAGACCATGCAGATATCCTTTTATTTCAGCTAATGTGCAAAGTATTTCAGACATTACAGAGAGTTTAATATTAAAACAATGTTTATACATGGTAAGGATTAAATAGCCCTAGTGAATAAGTAGTCAACACATTACTTATAGACTTTATTACATTTCAAACCCACAGCAAATCTGCATTGTGAGTTATGAGGCACTCTGTCATTGTTCTGATACGTAAGGCACACAGCAGGGCAGTAATGGATAGTCATGTCAAATAACAAAAGCCAGCTGTTTATATATACATATATATGTGGATGAATGTACGTGTGCGTGCGCGTGTGCAAATGTGCGTATACCTTATTTTGGCTTGATGCTTATTGCTGTTCGTTAATTGAATGTGTCATTTGAGATTGACTCCAGTCTAAGCTAAATCTTGCATTTGGAGCGCTTCTTCCCGTGTTTGAAATCCAAGCTGTGTTTTTTCACAAGGCAGTACCTCCTGGTGCGTGAGTGCAATATTGTGGTCTGAAGATTTAACAATCAATGCTATTTTGTACAGCTTTGCAAAATGTACATGTTGTGACTGCTGATTCGTGGAGCTTTTCCGCACCAAGAGCAAAATGTAAACATTCATCATTCAGGCACATTTGCAAGACGACCTAAAGCCATACACTTCCCTGAGGTAGACATTAAGTCCATCCCCGTTCACAAAAGAACATACATTTAAGGAAATGTTTGATTTGTATGTTCTTATTTTATTCTATCAGTTTGTAGACAAGAGCACAGCAAAAGGGAGATGACAGGAGGAAGCATATTCTGTTGAATAAGGGTCATGTTGTAAAACCATTGAATTGCTCTGTTGTGCCACAGGAAGAAGAAAAAGAAAAAAAAGAAATTGTTAAATTAAATCTTAAAATACCTTTTTGGCAGTGTTTAATCTGTAAGCTTTTAATGACCTCGTGTACAAATTTCAGATTTTTTTGTTTTGCATGTTGCGGAAAACATCAACCGAGCTCTGACTGTGTTTAACATTCAATCGTCAAATTGAAATATGAAACACTGCCTATGTAATGTTTGGTCACGTGTTATTTGGGTAATCCGATGCTGAATCATATTGCTTATGACTTTGTGTAAGTCCAATCCGTTAACCTGCTATTAACAACAACAAAGGCAAGGTCACTCGTGTCATAAGACCTTGCTGTTCCTGGTCATTGATGGGTTCAACTTAAAAATAAAAAAGCAGACATTAAGTCGCTGCTGTCATGGCTCTCAAACATCTCCAGGTTTAAAAGCTGCCAGCCAAGTTGCAAGACTAACATCTAAAAATTCATACTGTTATATTACAAATTATTTTATTGTTTATTTTTGATGTCTGTTAGTCAATGGATGTAGCTTTAGTTTGGTTGATTTGGTACTTTTGTTGTGTTTCATTGTGTGTTCTTTTAAATACCCATTTTCATTTTGACATTGTGATGAGACTAGTCTTGTGTGGTTAGCTGTAAGCAGAGGCATGTTACAATACTGGAAACATCCATGGTAGGTAGCTTTGTCAGCTGAAGACTTTACTGCATCGACAACTTTTATAGTTGTCCGTAAATGTGCATTTTTGTCATGATGTAAGTAACAGAACCATGTATTTCTGTGTGTGGCCATGATGATCCTTATGTTTTAATTGACTGTTTTCAGTCTTTTTGTGAAGCTTTTTTAACTCTTGAGAGGTGCTTTATAAATAACAGCTTAGTCACTTATTAAGTCACTACAAATGTAATACATTTCAGGAGATTCAGTAGTCAGCAAAATCATCTTTCGATATCCAATATAGTGGTTATTGCAAATGTGGTGGCCAGGTCAGGTTCAAATGAATCTCACAGTACAATACTTTAATCAATCAGATAAGAAACAGCAGGAGCAGAGAGGGCATTGGACCGGTTTAACCTCCAGTTTAATAAACTGTATCGTGATCGGTATGTCCGCCTGGGTGTGGATGGTAACTGCAAGCTGTCTCAAAGCTGCTTGGTATTTGAGTTTATCAAGCCCAGCTTATTAGCATGCTGATGTTAACATGATAGACTTTACACTTTCTCAAATATGTTAGCATCTATAGCATTGCCACTGTAACATTTGCATGCTAACGGTACCGCCTTGTGGATTCATTTAAGCTAACGTACTGTGGAGTTGATTTAAACATACTGAAGCTAAGCCTAACAAGCCTGCAGTCAATAGGGATGCAGTAAACAGTGGACTTTATTTTTCAGCACTAACATTGGACCATCCAAATGAGTTGTTAGTTATTATTATTATTATTATTATTATAAGTGCCTGTTATCTATCCCTTTAACACATTTAGAGCTGGAGGAACCTTTTAGATGTAACACAGACGAATGACACTGAATTAGCTTAAGGATTTGAGACCGTAAACGTTGATCTAATATACACTTTCCATATCCTCTTGAGAACTTCGCCTTCAAGGAAGTTTGTGCATGTGGGGAAATCAGCCACCAGACCGAGGGTCAAGGATGACTTTTATAAGTTATGGTTGATTTTGTCTTTGTCCCCTGTTGTACAATATATCTGTAAATATGAACTCTGTTACAGTAACAACCCTCTGCTACAGTAACAATATAATAAAATATAACAGTAATGAAAAGGAATATAAAGACTACTTCAAAAAAGCCCTCTATTTGAGTACATCAGCACAAAGTACAGGGCCCCCATGTCTTGTGTATCTAATTAGATTCATGACAATGTACGACTGTTTTATATTGTCAAAGCATACTGTACATAACTATTTAGTTTTGAGCCACTGCAAAGTCCATGAAACAAGCACATTTACTCGTATGGCGTTATGCTACCACAGTGTTGCTTACATGTGTCCATGGATATGTCTGAAGATTTTTACAACTAATACCTTGCCGATGTACTTTTTTGCTGTTCTGTTGAGATCATTATATCAGCTTATTTCAAATGAATGTTTCATATAATAATCTATTTCTCATTAAAAGGCTATATTTAATAAGAAGAGCAAGGCTTGTTTGTACCATTTTATATTCTAGAAACTATTATTCTGCACACAAAGACGCTGCATGCTATAACAAATCCTATGAGCCAGCTAATTTTAGTCCAGTGGTTTGGTCAAAGCATGCCAACATACTTTATCTTAACTATGGCTTTATAGAAGATTCTCCCCATGAATGTTATCCTGTCTCTGAAGTTTGCTGATAACAAAGATTTCCTTCCTTGGCCCAGCCGTGTTTGTGTGGCTGAATGCAGGGAAAGAAATAATGTTTGGGCTCAAGGATTCACATCCTGTAAGGCGGTGGCATTCATCACCACCGGATTCAGTATTTATTTTCCCATCATGCAGACCCAACAGTTCTGCCCACCTACCCACCCACTCAATCAAGCCCTGCTTTTGTCTGTGCTGCACTTCAATGACTAAAAGCTATGCTGGTACAAGCATCAGAGCAGGACTGTTCTAAATCCTTGATGTGTGCACAATACAACAGCCATGATGACGTGTGGGGGGGATATGTAAGCCGCTACATGAATGGTTTGCAAAAATTGCGGTCAGGGGGAATTCAGAATACTGATCTAATGGGTATTTTGGTCGCCATTTATAAGAAAATCTACTTACTTTAACATAAGAAATGCTTACAAAGTGTTCAATGGATCACGAGATCTTTTAATTTTGCAAAGAGACATGAGGCTTCAGTGAGGAGACGCTATCGATTGTAAACCTGATTGAACACTGAGGATTTAACACAGGGTGGGTCAGGTGGGTCAGATCTAAATGCAAGTTTGGTTAAAGTAGCAGTGCCCCCTACTGCACACATTTCCAATGATAAGTACAATTGTACCAACAATTATTCCTATAAATCATTGCTCTGTTGTTTGTGATAAACAGGGAAGTGGAATTATTTGTATCTGCTTTACATAAAAGGCTGTATTTAGCATTCAATATTACCATTGTAGATTATCACAATATGCTGCTTTAAGAGCAGTTCATAACAAAACGATTTCATCTTTATACAGAGATTATATTAAAGATGACAAATTACCATATTATCTGCCATCATTGCTGTCCGTCACCCATTGGTTTGTGGACTATCGTTTGGAAGCTGCAAGTTTGGCATTTGCTCATCACCATCTTGTTTTTTGAAACCTGCAGAGGTCAGAGAGGGAAGAGCAAGAACAAATGGAGGCTACAAAAGAGACTTCTTTGTGACGATTGAACCATGATGAAGTAAAAACACACTCTGAAAGGGTTAATGTTCTCAAACAAGAACTGCAAAATAAGCAGTGCACAAAGACATTTTCTTAGTGTTATAATAATACAAATAATAATAATACATTTTATTTGAGGGGCGCCTTTCATACAGTAGCACCCAAGGACACTTTACAGGGCATAAGGGCAATATAGGGAATAATTAAAACTGGATTGAGTGAAATATCAGCCGGGGTAAGACAAGACAAACAACAGTAAATGGACTACAGAAGGACACAAAAGGACACAGGGTACAGTTTATAAAGAAAATGCCAGTTTGAACAGGTGGGTTTTGAGTTGGGTTTTGAATGTTGTTATGGAATCAGACTGTCGGATGTGTAGTGGCAGGGAGTTCCAGAGTCTGGGAGCCGAGCAGCTGAAAGCTCGAACACCCATGGTGCTGAGGTGAGAGCTTGGGACGGTGAGAAGTCCTACGGACGAAGAGCGGAGGGTGCGGGAGGGGGTGTACTCCTGAAGGAGGTTGGTGATGTAGATGGGGGCAAGGTTATGGAGAGCTTTATATGTGAGTAGAAGGTAGTCAATACAGTATACAGGAAGCCAGTGTAGCTGAGTGAGAATGGGGGTGATGTGGTCGGATGAGTTGGTGCGGGTGATGATCCGGGCAGCAGAGTTCTGGAT